TGATCAATCCAGACATGTCTTGGATACGGATCCAGAACTGAATTCTTTAAGAAAATGGCCGCCAGTCGGCCATTTCGAACTTGATCCGGAAAAAAAAATGACGTGCATCAAGGTCCTATTATGTTTAATGTAAGTACCAAATTTGAACGAAATCCGTCCATGCATAACTGAGATCCGGGTTCGGAATGGTGAAAATGTGCGATTTCAATGCATTTTCGGCCTTAAAGCGGCCGCCATTTGGCTATCGTTAATGGGATCATGAAACAAATGCACATACATATTTGTGACATGATGTACCTTGTGTGTGTGAAGTTTGAACTTGATCAATCCAGACATGTCTCGGATACGGATCCAGAACTGAATTCTTTAAAACAAAATGGCCGCCAGTCGGCCATTTCGAACTTGATCTGAAAAAAAAATGACGTGCATCAAGGTCCTATTATGTTTAATGTATGTACCAAATTTGAATGAAATCCGTCCATGCATAACTGAGATCTGGGTCCGGAATGGTGAAAATGTGCGATTTCAATGCATTTTCGGCCTTAAAGCGGCCGCCATTTGGCTATCGTTAATGGGATCATGAAACAAATGCACATACATATTTGTGACATGATGTACCTTGTGTGTGTGAAGTTTGAACTTGATCAATCCAGACATGTCTCGGATACGGATCCAGAACTGAATTCTTTAAAACAAAATGGCCGCCAGTCGGCCATTTCGAACTTGATCCGAAAAAATGCATAACTGAGATCCGGGTCCGGAATGGTGAAAATGTGCCATTTTGATGCATTTTCGGCCTTAAAATGGCCGCTATTCGGCTATCGTTAATCGGATCATGAAAAAAATGCATGTGCATATGTCCCATATAATGTGTGATGTATGAGTGAAGTTTGAACATAATCGGTCCATGCATGTTCGAGATACAGGTGATCACGGACGCACGGACGGACGGACGGACGCACACAGGGCAAAACATAAGTCCCCGTTTTCGGACTCCGTCCGAACGGGGACTAAAAAAATAATAAATGTGTGATAAATGAATGATTTGTTTATCAGAATAAGACCAAATATTTGCAAATTCAAAACAAAATACATAATAGTGAAACTAATCTAGTCCTAGGCTGGCAAAGTCTTAACTTCTTTTTGGCTTTTGTGGAAAAAATGGTTTTCTCATAAAAGGTCATGTTTAGTTCGCATAAACTTCATTTTAAAACCATGTGACTGCAAAAGAAATATTCCTTTCATGATTGTGCTAAAAACATTCACCATTTTTTTTCACAAAATAAAAAAGAAGTCCAGCCTTTGCCAGTGTACTCTAGTCCCAGTGAAGCGCATAGCACAAGCCAGCATGCAGCATAGACTGATTCAGTAGTTGTTGATTATACTGTCCTGTCATGTGTTAGAATCTACCCATTGGAGAGTTTGTTATTACAATAATGCAAAAAATGGCAAGAAAATACAACCAAGTCGGGGTAATGACGAAAAGAATAATTTGAAAATTGTTCAAGAAATGTTAATACATGTACATGTATACCAACATATAGAATATGCAGTAGTAAATAGAAAACAAAAACATCTACATACACACAATTCATATAACATTCTCACATCCATCTGTTGTTTTTTGTTTTGCTTTTTTTAGTTTTAATTAATGTAAAAACAATTATCATCCACTCAGCAAACACCTTGTTTTTAATATGTGGGTGTTCACAGTGCTATTGTACATGCAGGTGCATTATGGGTAGACAATGTTCAGCTTTTGAGTCAATCATGATTAAATATTCATGAAAGCTGATTTTTACAAATTTTATTAATACGTTTATAAACAAATTCCAAGCTTTGTGCCCTTAACTGTATCAATGGCATTACATTAATTTCCTTTCACAAAAGAAAACTATAACTCTAATCCCATAATAAATAAATGTAATAAATTATTTTACAGTAATCTTGACATGTACAATTCAAACTGATATTTATGATTCATTGGAGGCACATGTGTTGATAGATTTGTCATATGATACAATAACATTATATTATTGCAAAACATATTTATTTTATTAGTAGCACTCACTAGCCCTCATACATTGTCATACAAAATCATTATGGTCAATTTGCATGTCATTAGCATACCACTAATTGAATGTTTTTTAGGCAATATAATAATCTTGTGTGAAAGCATGTCTACCTTACATGTGCCAGCCAGGAGAAATCAAATTGCGCCCAATACTTGTTAAAGCGCGGTAGTCGTCGCGCTGTGTATGTGTGACATTTGTGTTGATTTCCCATAATCCAATGCACTCTTCAAATGTAATCACAAGTATGAGGTTTAACCTGGGCGCGATATGCACTGATTACCGACGGTGACTCCTAAATACTTTCGAATAACATGAAAAATTATCTAATTAAGGTAGCGAGACTATTATTTGTGTTGAAAATTCTGATTTTCACATTTATTTATTAATTGATGAAATGCACTATAAACTTTCATCTGACAAACTCAACGTAACCTAGAATGTCATGTAAGTTGGTTAAAATGTAGATTTTCTGAAGGGAAGCAAGGCAGCTTCAGTAGTGTTTTCTAAAATCAACAACACATGTTTAATTTGTGTGCCTATAAGTTTCAAAGATTAACTCAAGACAAAGCAATGTTAGGATGTGTTATCAGTAGCTATCTGACACACAATGAGTGTTTCCAAACATTTGAGTGGTTTGTCTCCGCCCCTGTTTATTTCACAGATTAGTCATTTGCATACGAATGTGTCAGACACAAGGTCACACAGCCACTGAAAAAAATCATTGATTTTAGTGTTTTCATCTGCCGTTTTATCGAACTTTAGCTATCCCATTCCTTTAATTTTTATTGGTTTACAATAGCCTTACACATTAGGATGCCCCTACACATGTTAAAACAGACCTTGATGGGAAAACAAATCGTTTGTGCAGATAAACAAGCTTGAAAATCGTTGCTGTAACTTCATCGACGTTTTCTAGGAGTTCATGTTTTTCAAAATACAAGGTCTTTAACAAAAAATAACGTATACTTATTGTCGTTGGATTAACACCAAATTTTCACAGCTTTAAGGTGACAATGAGAGGAACTTGAATGTGTCCAGATAAACTATTTCATGGATTATTTACCAATGTGTTGTGGTTTGAGTTGCGGTCAATGGGACTAAAACAGAAATTAAAATTCAGGACACTATTTTTCAAAACGCGTTGCTTGAATAAAACTGATCAGACACATTCAATTTACCAGACTATTGAACAACTAGGAAAAGCGAAAACAAAACTTATTATCACCAGCAAAAATGCGTAATTATTTTTTTTACAAAAAAAGTAATTTTTCACTTTTGATTAAGTAACTCACCGTAGAATGCAGATACGAGCATGACAAACACACCTTTGAAAAGCTTGAAGTCTGGCGATTCCAAAAATATATACTTTCCTGGGTCTATTTGTAGTCGTTTGGTCCCAATTAGAAGATGAAAAAAAGTATGCAAATAATAGTCCCGCTACCTTAAAGCGTTGGAAACATCTCAGTTCATATTTGTTGATCTGCGCAACAGTCAAAGTCGCCATATTTGTTTATATGAGACCCAATATATCTCGCACATGCGCAGCGCGACGACTACCGCACTTTAAGTAATAAACTTGTTCCCTTATTTTCATTTATTTCCCTAGCCTTATTAAATCTGCTGCACTAAGAATCCCATTAAAACACATAATTAGGTTTCACATGTATGACCTTTCTGATAGAGAAACTACCATTCTCAAAAATAACATTGATAAACCCACATCATATCTTGTTTGGTATATGCGTTTGTAATATAAGTATTACAATACTATCTGTATACATGGCATGACTTGGACTATGTAGTACTAACCAAGCATAACATCTAATAAATAGTATCCAGTCAAAAACAATTTATTCACATGTCGTGACATTGACAGTTCATAATAATTTATAGTGTATTCACTAGATATTGTGGTAAAGTTCAAATCAATCCTTTATATGGAAATCAGCAGAGCACTTCAGAGTAATTCAAAACAAATGATACATATGCAAATAAAGCCCGTGCCACTACCATCAAGCAATGATATAAACAGACTGCAAGGATCCCAACATGACAACACATCTATACATGGATCTATTCGTACTGTTACTTTTTGACTACTATATCATAAATATCAGCGTTTTTAGAGCTAATATATTCATGATAAAAAATGTAACTCTTTGTGTTGTCAAAATTTTGATATTTTCAATATTGCCTCTCAAAAAAATTAATTTATTTGCAGTATATCAACATTGTGCGGTTTAAGCCGATATTACAGGCTACTGGCGCACAAAGCTTTACTGTGATGCAACTTGTTGTGCTAATTCAATGGCTTATTATGGATGCAACAGAGAATTGTATATTGAGATAGTGATCTTGAAAACAGCTGTCATATCCTTCCATTATCTTCTTGACCACATCTTATAAAAGTTTTGAAATTTGTAATTTGAAATTCACTTTCTATGAATAAAATAAGTCTAAAAACAAAGGTAATCATAGATCTTCATATTTTTGTTTTTGTCTCTTAACCTTTTGACCACCAGTTTCCTCTTTCATCAAAAATTCACAAAATAGTCCCGTTTATAGTTTCCATCAGAAGATTGGGACAAAAATAGCTAAAACTTTTGAGTAAAAACTGAAAATTGACTCAAATTTTGTTTGTTGGCTCCAAAATTAGGGTTCATTTCCAGATATATTAAAGAATATAAGAAAAAAGTGCAGAAAGATTTTGGCAAGGAAGTCTGGTGGTGAAAAGGTTAAGTCTCTTGAAGACCCCCCCCCCCCAGCAGCCAACAAGCTGATTTTTTGAGCTCCATTTCGACTCAAGATTTTTAATTACAAGTGTTTTGATACATTTCTCAAAATATGCTGCATGCAAAATTAAAATTTGGTGTGGATTTAAGAATAATTCAAATTACAGTGAAAACTGATAATATTTTTTTTCAGAAATGCCAGAATTTTTCCAGGTTCCTGAGAACAAGAGTGGAATAGAGTATTCCTCTGTCAACCTCTATTGCAATGCAAAGGGGACACCAGAACCAACATTAACATGGCTCTTCCAAGGCGAGGAACTGACAGACGATGAAAAATATTTCATTGGTAAGTATTCCAATATAATAATCAATATAAGTGATGAAATATCTACATGTAGTTGTAACAGTGCCTAATGTGTAC